ATAAGGACAATTGTCCTTTCATGTTATTTCAAATATTCAAGGTTTTCAGTTATCATTATCATACTTAAAAAAGTCCTTATTTATTACTCCCTCCGTTTAAAAATATAAAACTTTTTTTAAGAATTGGATGTTAAAAAATGTAAGGCATTTTTAGTATTTCAAAATGTAAACATTACCTTTTTTTTTCAAAAGTACCTTATTGAATAAATTACTTTATATTTTTTTATGTTGAAGCACCCTATTAAATAGGGTTAAATATAGAAAAATAGGATTAGTTTAAAAGTAAACAATTACTTTATTAGAAGTGAGATTCAATTAAAAATATCTTATATTTTTGAATGGAGAGAATATTTTTATTCAATAATTTTTTATTAGTTAAACTGTTCAAGCTATAAAAAAACAAAATAAAATAAGGAGAATATTAAAGAAAGACTCTTCAAAAAATCAATATTTGACAAGAACATGGACTAATTAAATATTTGATAAATTAAAATAATAACTTTATATATTAATTTATTAATATTTACTTGTTATAAATCTTTACCGGACATTAAATTTTTTTGAAGTTCTTTCATTGATATTCTCCCGATAAAATAACTATTTTTAAGGTAATAAATATTTTTAAATAATCTCTGTACGGCAGGGACAACATATTAATTTAAGAAGCTTTGTATTTTAACTCAATCTCAAGCTCTGCCATGCTATTTACACTTTATTAAAGCTTGGCAATTAATCTTTTCCTTTTCGGCCGAGCATATCACTGTAACACGTTTTATCATAAATCAATTAAAGAAGGAAAATTTAAAAGAAAAAGAAGTATTGTTGGCCAAGTGTTTTGATTCCGGTCAAAAAGAAAAGAAGGGGAAAGAGGGGCCCAAAAAAAAAAAAAAACGAGGGAAATATCATTGCTGGTGGAATGTTCACTAGCATTCAGACATGAGACAACACCTTAGAGATATTATATTTAAAATTTTTAATTAATAATAAGTACGATTTTCTTATTTTACTATTACTTACTTTGACTTTTGTAAAATTTGAATAATTTAAAAAGTTATATGATGCTTGTCTAGTTAAAAATATAAATTATTTTTAATTAAATTTTATCTAAAGTAATTATTTATTTTTAAATAAAAATTATATTTTTATATTTATTCATATTAAATATACTACAATAAATATAAAGTTATTATTAATATGGGTACTTTTAAAAAAAGTAATAATTATACTTTAAAATATTAAAAATATCATATATTTTTTAATATTCAACTTCTCAAAAAGTATTTTATATTTTTAAACGAATGGAATATTATATAATTTTTTTACCAAAGATTATATATAAAATTTAAAAAATGAGTTATATTATTTATATATTATAAAAATATTTTTCTACAATCTTATCATGTAACTGTTGTTTTATTATCATATTTACATTGAAATAAATAATGATATTGTCAATAATATAATTTATTAAAAATAAATATCTCCAACTTAAGCCTAAATCCCACTAAATTTTATGGAAAAAGAAACTAGGAAGCAAAAAAAATGAGCATGGTCATAGCTTGAACAAAATATTCTTTAACCTTAATTATAAATTATTTTATGAATATTTTATTAAAATTAAAAAACTTAAATTTTATTATCTCTATCTAAAAATTTAAGAATTTTTTAATTTTAATCATATTAAATATATCTGCTTTACAAATAAAATGCTTTAATATTTAATAATTTTCAAGTATTTAATAGTAATAAAAGAATAAAAATAGATATAAAAATTATAAAATATCATATAAATAGAATTAAAATAAATACTCTTCTCAAGCTATTTTATTTAATGAATTAATATATTAATTGACTTAATTTTTAATATTAAAATAAAAAATAAAATATTACACCAAGGTCTTATAAAAAAAATTTAGTTTACACCAAGGTCTTTTAAAAAAAAATTTAGTACTAAAAAATTTTATAAAATTTATAAAATGTTTTTAAATTTTAAATTATATACATTTATAACTTATCATATATTATTTATAATTAAATAATGAATATTAATAACATATTATTATAATTTTTTTTTGTAAATTATAAATGCATGTCACTTAATTATATATATTTTTGTAAAATTATAAATACATCTTATTTAAAAAATTGAAAATATTATTTGTTTTTGGAATGAAGGTGCAATTTTTCCAACAAAACTCAGAGAGGGAGAGAGAGAAAGAGAGGGGCCCATTGCATAGTGCATAGGCATTGAAAGATTCTTCACAAGACAGGCCAAAATAATTGTGCCGTAATAATTATTAACGTGGGCCCATACCTTGTTCTCCAGTGTACGTCCCCTAGTTTTAGGCTTAGCCTCTTGTTTCTGCTTCTTCTTCTTCTTCTTTTCTTTATTGATTAAAGTGTGTCCCCGACTCATCAGCTACACACTCTTCACATTGATCAATTAATCTTGCCAGAGGAGTTCGCTTCTTCGTTTTATTGTTACTTCTACATGTGGCAGCTTGCAAGTTGGATCCCTAGATGTGCTCTTTCTATTTTTTTATAAAATATTTTCAGCATAAAAATTTATAAATCTCATTAATTCTATATAAAAATTTGATATATTTTTAATTTTATTCCTATTAAATATATTTATTTAAAAAATAAAATACCTTACTATTTAATAATTTTTTTCATATTTAATAGAGGTAAAAGAATAAAAAGAAACATAATAATAATTGTAATGTAGTATAAATAGAATCAAAATAAATGTTAGGCCTTTTTATTTTACAAATAAGATTAGAGGAGCAGTTGTATAGGTTAATATTTTATGTGATAAAAAAATCTTGCTTGAGAGCATGATATATTAATAATTAGAATTGTGCAAAAGTCTAATTGTTTTGTCTAATCCAATCCAAACTGAACAAGTCCGGTCCAGTCCAATAAAAAAATTAGTTCAAAAGACTAATGAGACTAATAACACTAAATAACTTCTTAAGTTAGACTGGATAGGAAATCAATCTCTTAGACCACTTGATTCAATCAGATCTGATTTTATGAAATTATTTTAATATAATTTTAATTATTTTTAATATATCTAAATAGTTTAAGTTTGAATGTAGCATTCCCTTCATTCACATCTAACTCTTCTATTTAATATAATTTTAATTTAGTTTGTTATTAAATTGTTGTTGTAATGCATTTTGGACATGTTAGTGAAGTTTGTTAAATGTTGTTGTTGCAATTATGAATTTGAATCATGTAAATTGTACTTAAAATATTTTTTTATTGTTATTAGAGATTATTATGGATTTTTTATAATCATAAATATTTTTATTATTTTAATTAAGTTTATCAAAATGAAATAAATTATTACTTCTCTTAATTCAATAGATCAAATTCAATCTTATTAATTTTTGAATTATAACTAAATCAAGTCAGATTGTGAAATATCTAATCTAATTTTTTTTTTGTGAAAATGATCAGATTTTGAGTTAGATTAAAATTTGGTCATATCCAATTCTTTTTATAGCCCTATGGATAACTAGATTATGCCCCTGTGCATTATTATTATTGATGTATTTATTTAAAAAAATGTTAGTATTGTTTTCACTGGAGAACAAACAGTAACTAAGATTGTATTTTACAAAGGAAAAGATAATCCAATAATCCAATCACATGTTGAAAGAAACAATTTCTTTAGTCTCTGAAGACTTTCAAGTTCCAATCAGTGTTTTAACTTTTAATACGGGATCCAGCTTCTCTTCGCCGAGGTGCTGCCTCTCGGCCCTACACAAAGAGCAGGTAAAGAATAAAGATTTGAATCTCGTAAATTTAACATTTTTAATTTTAATTTTAATTTTAATTTTCTATTTATCAAATAAAATTTATAATTTTTTAATAAATCTGCTTGATAATTGATTCAAACAGTCTAATTTTAATTTAAATAATTTAAATTTAATTATTTTTTTATAAATTAATTATCCGAATTTATTCTAGAAGGTTAAAATTTAAATTTTTTACCTTTTCCGTTTAATAATATAAGACATTTTTTGAGAAATTAGATATTAAAAAATATAAGACATTTTTAAGCTTTCGAGATGTAATTATTACTTTATTTCAAAAGTATCCCTATTAATATATGACTTTATATTTATTATAGGGTATTTAATAAAGGTAAATATAAAAAGATATGATTAGTTTAAAAGTAGATAATTACTTTATTGGGGTGAGATTCAGTTAAAAATATTTTATATTTTTTAATGGAGGGAGAAACTTGTGATTTTTTTTTGAGAAAGTGCATCTTAGAAAATTATTTTTATTTTTATTATTGTATTAACTAAAATTAAAAATTTATAAAAATTAAAAAAATTTAATATTAAATCCATATTATTCAGGCTATCTCTGGATAGTAAGCAATGAAAGCTGGGTCTAGTAAAAAAGATTAATATCTCATAATGTTGTATATTATTGTTTGAATTATCACTGATCCAGGTACTCACATTTAACATTCGATTATGTTTCGAATATAATTATTTTTATTAAAAGAATACTTATGAGTAATAAAAAAATATGTAAATAATTCATTTATAAAAATAAGTTTAAAATATAACTAGTTTCATTTAAACTACAATTCAAAATATAGGATTATAATTAAAAATTTATTTTATAAAATATTAAATCTAAATTATTTAAAAATGAATCCAAGAACCCGGTAAAAAGTGAGGAGAAAACGAATAGAAGAGACAAAGAGAAACCAAATCTGGCAATAGGATGGCATTTGGAGGAGGCTCTAGGCCCCGGGATCCGTGACAATGAAAGAAGTCTTCACTGTGGGACCCACAGATTCCCCTCCACCAATCCCCCTCCCTTCTTTTCACCGTTTGAAGATTCGTTTTCACTCTCTTTCATTCACTCTCTTTCTCACTTTACTTAACCCCGCTCTCGCTCAGGCCATGATTTTCTTCTTTTTCGTGGAAAGGAAAGAACAAGAGACATAAATGTATGAAGTGCAAGGAAATTATTGATTACATCAACGACATTTTCATTGATTTTCCCAAACAATGTTCCTTGCTTCGCTTGTAATCTACATTCATTTTTCGTTTTTTTAACTTATATTTTCTTTTCACCTCAGATCTTTCTCTGGATCGACCACTGGTGTCTGACCGCCGACCTCTGTTCTTGGTTCCAAAGAGACTGGAGATAGTGTCGAATGGTACATTCTCGATCACTATCTGTTTCTGTGAATTTTTTTGTTGCCTTTTAATTTTCATCTGTTCTTTCGGTGAAAATGGAGGAAGGAGGAAGTGAAGGCTTCATCTGAATTAATTGCTCTTATTTTATCTGGTGTAGCATATTATATTATATTAAACTTATTTTTTTTAATTTTATTTCAGCCTTATCATCAACATAGCAGAGCTTGGTCTTTATAATTACATGATGCTAGATTTGGTTTTATTTCAATTTTCGATCAGTTTTTGTTTAGCTTATATATCTTGTCTAGCATATCATCGTCAAGTTGTTGCATCGGTTAAAACTAATTCAATTAAATATTCTCTTCACTCTTCATCAGGAGTAAGGAGCAGTCAAGGAGGGATTTATCACTTCGTTCGTTCATTCATACATTCTTTATTAGCAGTACAGATTTTCTTATTTCCTTTTCGTCAATAATAATCTTTTCACACGGCTTTCTCTATGAGCTTTTCCAAGAAAATGTCAGAATCAGGTTGCTATGCTTACGTTAACGATTAAAACTACGTTTAGAGACATAAGAATACGTTTAGAGACATAAGAATGCAGTTTCCTCTTTTGGGTCCTCAAATATTGATAATGTCTACATAAGATTGCTAAATTGATAATGGCTATAGACTATTGTCTCCATATTAAGCACTCGAAACTATTTATGCTTCTGATAATAACTGGAAACATGCATTTAAATTCAGGTGTGGCATTTTTTTGCTTATTCCACTTATACCATCGTTGCATTCTGAAATTCATTTCATCAGGGCAGTCGAATTTTTGCTTTAAATTGTGTATAAATGCTATTAAAATCCTTATTATTATTATTATTATTTTTTGGTCGAGCCTGATTCTCATTTATTGAACTATACAAGTCCCACCATGTTTTCGATTTTTGAAATCTTGAATTTTGCAGACAGATTATGACTGGAGCATGATACAAACTCCTAAGGAGCAACTTTTGAATGAAGTTCCGAACTGAAAAGCCTGAGTTAGTGCCATGCCATTGAGGAAATGGGATTCATTTTAGAGTTGAAAAAGATCAGTTCAAAGCAACAAAGCAGCTCAAAGACAACTAGGGAGGATAAGTTGAAATCCAAGAATGGTGTTGGTTCTACCATATCTAGTGATCTCAATTACAAAGCACAGCAGGTTGCAGATAGGAAGAGTCACGACCATGAGAGTGTGAAGAGAAATGCAGGGAGGAAGGATGAGCTAGTCAAGCACATGACAAATTTACCAGGTTATCTCCGGCGCAATGATGGAGGAGAAAACGTTCAAGGAAAGGCTTTAAATGTTGGAGTTCTAGATTGGACGCGGCTTGAAAAATGGAAGCACAAAAATATGAATATCCCGGCATTTGGTACCAATTTCACATCATTCAGTGTCAGAGAATCGCCCTCAAGAATGGCTCCTAAATCATCTGTAAGTGCTGGTCGTAATGGCAAACTTGCTAATCAACGGGGTTTCCTATCTCTGGGTATTAAGGCATCTTATAATGAAGTCTTTCCGGAAAATTCCAAACAATCATTTCAGTATGTCAAACAATCTCACTGCTCTAAAGCTGAAGTTGAGAGCATTAGAGATGGGCAAAGAGTCACACCCTCAACATTTGAGTCCTTCAGCACAAGTCACTTAGAGATATCGTTTGAAAAGAAGGGGAAACGCTCGGATAAAATAAGTTCACAAACGGGAAACGTTCAATTGAACTTGCGACACCAAGGGACCTCTCAAATTCCCAATAGAAACATGAATCTTGGAGCTGACAAGAACTTGGAGCGATTGCAAGAATATGGCCTCAAGAATAATGACAAAATTCGTGAGTCTGCTCCTAGCTTGGGACTTGCATCATTAAAACCAAAAGGTGAAGGGCTCTCATTCCATCCTAAGAAAAAAATGAGTGCTTGCAATAGTGAAGTAAAGAAAGTGGTAGAGCAGTCTTCAGAGTCAGACATCAATATGGGTCACACACCATGCTGTAACAAGCCAAGTAATATTGGGCTTCCTCACCCACAAGAAATTCTCCAATCATGTTATCCTGTTCACCAACCAAGAATGTCCTTTGATGAGAACTTCAGAGAATCAAGTCAAGGTAGACCGCCAAATGTTTCCCTTATTGATGATGTTTACTCTGAATATGTGAATTCTGAAATTCCACACTCATGTCCATTGCCCTCGGTGGTTGAGCGAGCGCCAATAACAAATCTCGTGCAACACAGAAGTAATGTTGATCAGAATAGTAGTCATTCTACAATTGGGTCCAAGAAGACGTTTAACTTGAAATCTGAAGGTGGACAAGGTGAAAAGAATGCATTAGATGATAAGCTCATAAATCATTCTGTTTTTAATAACTCAAATAAATCAGGGGATCAAGAAATCGCTGAGCAGACAGCTCAGAGAGGAAGGAATCCATCACCCAATCGTCGGTTTAGCTTCAGCTTAGGACGGATTGGAAGAAGTTTTAGTTTCAAAGAGGGGTCCTCTCTACCACAGTTTAGCTCCACATATGTCAGCGTAAAGTCTGGTCCGGTGACTTCTGAATCTTCGGATTGTTTGGATAATTCAAGGAAGGAGAAGGCGCGTAGTCATAGCAGAACCAGGTCCGGCTCCCTGCGAAGGTTATTAGACCCTATATTGAAGCATAAGGCAACAGAGATGCAGCATTCGTCTGAAAGCAGTCCAATAATTAAAGGAACCTTGGATCGAATTAACTTCAAGACAAACAGTGTCAAGGAATCATTATCTCATGTTGAAAAGAGCGAGGGCTACTCAATTCAAGCCCTTTTGCATCTTACAATGAAAAATGGAATCCCCATATTCAAATTTGTGCTCAACAATGAAAGAAAGATTCTTGCTGCTACCCTAAAAAAATCAGATTTACCGGAGAAGGATGATTCAGGTTGTTGTTTTACATTCTATCTTGTTGATGAAATTAAGAAGACTGGTGGATGGATGAATCACGGAAGCAAAGATAAAAATCGTCATTATGTCTCCAATGTTGTTGGTCAGATGAAGTCTTTCAGCAATAAATTCACTAAACCTGGCAATAAGAGCTCTAAGACGCACTGTTTTGTCAAAGAATTTGTTCTATTGAGTGATGAAATCGGCCAGAAAGATCAAATAACACCTAAGTTCATACCGAGTCAGGAGCTTGCAGCAGTTGTTGTTGAGATCCCTTGTGGAAATTTCAGCCAAGGAGCAGAAAATGACAATAATTTTCTGAAGAATGAGTGCCAAAAGTGCTTGGCAGAAGATGGATGCTTACGCAGCTCAGGAGAAAATGATGTCTCCAGTAGAACTACAGTCATATTGCCAGGTGGTATACATGGTTCACCAAACAAAGGAGAACCCTCTCCATTGATCTATCGATGGAAAACAGGAGGATTGTGTGATTGTGGGGGTTGGGACATTGGTTGCAAACTGCTTGTCCTTTCCAACCACAAGGAGAGATCAATTATCACAAGAAGTTCAAAATCTCACCCAGAGCATTTCCAACTTTTTGTTGAGGTATGGCTCTAATCTTTCTGTGCCAAGGGTTGTGATTGTGCACAACAATAAATATTAGGATTAAAGTGTATTTTTGCCCTCAATTATTTGCCCATGAGTGTTTGATATTCTGAACTTACATGTATTGCAGTTTTTTCTTTCAATATTTGAAAATGTTGCACCAGATATCCTGTCGTCAAAAGTTGATGGGTGTACGATATGAAAGTTTAAGATATCATATGCTCTTTAGCAAATAGCTGAGGGGCAAAAATATCCTTTAATCCTAAATATTATAACCCATTGACTTGTCAACTTTGTCTAACTTCCAGGAAGGAGCAGAACAAAACAAACCCCTTTTCACTTTGATGCCATTGAAAGATGGATTCTCCAAGGTGGACTTCAGTTCATCGATCACTCATTTGCAGGCATTCTTCATTTCAGTTTCTGTTCTAACTTGCCAGAAAGAAATTGCCCTAGCAATGAATAAGATGCATGAAGCCTCTACAAGGAACAATGATGGACTCCTAGAGAAAGAACCTATAAAGTATACCCCTATCCCACCACTATCCCCTGTAGGCAGAGTCTAGATTTAGATACTGAGTTTTTCTTTTTTTAAGAATATAGTTTGCTGGTGAAGAGCTCCCAGTTCTTCCTCAATATTTTCTCTTCATACATGAAATCTGGTGAAGTCCTCTTTCACCGAAGTTGTGAAGTTAAGTAGATCCTAGTATGCTCTTTGTGCTCTCGTATGCACTCTGTTACAACAATTGCGATAGCATTACGGATACTTTGTACATAACAACATGGTTAAGTAAATTAATACCAATATATCTATGTATATTATGAAGTCTATGGGAATATTTGTTTAACTTTTTTAAATGAAAAAATTACTTCTGTTTTGAAAAGAATTTCTTTTGTGAAATTTTATTATGTTTATTTAAACTTTGGGTTAAATATCTAAATTACCTTTAAATTTTTTTGGTCATTTTTTATAATTTTTTTATGTTCAATTATGTCATTTTTTGATCAATCAATAATTAAAATTAGCTTTTGTTAATAGTAAAGGTCAGACTGCATTACATTATTTTTAAAAGTTAAAAATAAAAAATAAGTTTAAGATTTTAGATATTTCAAGATCTGTAATTTAGAGGTTAATTTATCATTTAACCCAATGAAAGTTAAGATGTTACAAGCATAAATAAAGTCAAGAATAAGGGCTAGGTTTAATAAGTTGCCCATTTAAGTTAATTTTCACAAGAGTTTGGCTTGAAAATTAATATTTTTTTAGGGTAACCGGTTTTGAAGACCAGTCTTTTATAAGCCTTGAAAAATGGACAACCTGTCAAAGCTCATTTTACATTTTTTTTCCCACCTAAACAATCTCTCAAAATGCACCATCCGACTCTGGACTCGATTTTGGTGCTCATCTTAGGATGAGCACCGTGGTGCTCAGCACCAAAACACTGCTGTTTGGCAGTTTTTTTTTCTTTTTTTTTTTTAAACCACAAATTTATTATAATAATAAATAATTATTATAAAATTATTATTTTAATATTTAATAAACTAATAAATATTAAAATGTTAAAATTGAACCTAAATAGTTTAAATAAAAATTTTGGTTTGAACATTGAGAACTGTACTAAAAAAATAAAAAATGATCTGAACAATTTAAAATAAGAGTCGAGTCTGGCAAAATGAGCCAGTTTCTTACATGTAATAAATCAATGTTTGAATTTCTATTAAGAAAAGTACCTATATTTAATACCTGATTATGCCTTAAATGATATCATCTCTCATAGATAAACAACTATGCAAAATCAATAAAATAAAAAAATATTTATATTTATAATTTTAATTTTTTCAATACAGTTTTAAACTATTTAGATCGAAATTTATATATAAACTATTCAAGTTAAATTTTAATGAGTTAATCTGTTCATATTTAATTTTGACATCTTAATATTTATTTGTTTATTAAATATTAAAATAATAATTTTATAATATTTATTTATTATATTATAATAAATTTGTGGTTTAAAAAAGAAAAAAAAAAACACTGCCAAACGGCAGTGTTTTGGTGCTGAGCGCATGAGATGAGCACTGAAACCGATTCCATCCAACTCTGCTTTGAACTAAAACTTGAGACTTCTCTCACTTAATTGCCTGACTCTCCTCCCTCTTTCATTCATCTGACTCTCTTCATCTAGGCTTCTTGACTTTGTTCTCTCACTCTTGCCAGCGTTATGCGATGGTCTCCTCCCTCTTATTGAATCAATCTCGACTTCGCCGGTGGTCGCTCCTCTCGAATTAGCATTATGCCTTGCCATCATAGTACTCTCCTCCCTCCTCTCGATCTAATATTTTGATCTTGGCAATGTCGCCTTTGATTCTTAGCCTCTTGATCTTAGCAGCATCACGGAGATCTGGCCTGTCGATCTTGGTAGGGTCGCCTTTGATTCTCGAATCTCGACTCCTCTCAGCTTTAGCCTTCAAGTTTGCCTCCACCATCCCAATTTGCTTTTGGTAACTTAGTCTCGATTGATTCTCTAGTTGTCCTTAAATCTTGCATTCATGTAATTTTATTTTTGGTCTTGGTAGTCTGATTGTTGTTCTTCTTGGTTTCTTGTCCTACAAGCTTGGAATGTGATTTTTTTTTTTACATTATTTTATTTATAGATGAGGAGGAGGAGGATTTTAATTTGGATTGATGAAGATTTTTGTCTTCATCTTAAATTTAAACTTTTAAATCTTTTATTTATTTTTTAAAAATTATTTGAGACCTTGATTTATTTTATGTTGAATTTTATAATATTTTAATTAAATTATAAATTTATAATGTTGAATTTTATTTTATTTTATTTTTTAAAAATATAACTACGGGCTCAATCCTGAATCCTTTGAATAAGAGTTGGATCTTAAATTTTGGATAAAATTTTGAAAACCAAATTTTAGGGCCTACATCCATATGAGTTGAGTTCACCCATTTCTAATTTCTATTATGAATGAGGCTCAATCAAATGTACAAATTAGAACTAATAGCCGGCAATAAATCCAAGTCAACAACATTTAAATATGATACACGGTTGGTTTGGTAATCTTGCTATAACTTGAATGTTTTCTGAATTTTTTTTAATTTTTTTTAAAAATATAATTGATTCATAGTACTATTTTTCTTGTAATATAATTTTTGTGCATGCTCATTTTTATTATTTCAATTTTTTAAATTTGTTTCAAAATTTTAGATTGATTTGTTTAACTTTATATAAAAACATAATGGATATATTATATATATAATTTTCAAAAACATTACTTTTGATCCTAACATTAGTTTTATAAGAGAATTTGAATGATGATAATTATATTTTTCTTGTTGATGAATGTAATTATTTTCATATTTTATATAAAGCTTTTTAAGTTGGGCCTGACTCAAATATTTGAATGACTCGATGTCCAAATTTTACATCTTGTTGGGCCCAAGATTTAGGTGAAAATTCTAAGAATAGCATGGATGTTTTAAATAATGGGAGAATTACATGCAATGATCACTTAAATAAATTATTCACATATAAAAATTAATAACAAGTCTCATTTTAAAAAAAATAAATCACATTCAAATTTTAACAATAATCCAATCGATTCTTGTATGTGAATAATTTTTTTAAATGATCCTTAATCTTCTTTTAATAATAGTAGGAATTTTCTCTAAAATTAATCAAAATTTTAAGAATGGTTCCTCGGTGAAAATACAAGGGAAAAAGTTGACCTCAATTCTAAGGTCCAAAGCTTATATGGTCCAAATAGACGTGATACTTATTAAAAGAAAAAGAAGAGTAATATTTTTGAAAGGTTAATTTGTGTCAATATTCATAATAATTTTGGAATTTTCAGTTTCATAATTTGTCATTAACTCTCATTCTACAAGTCCCTCAATGCCATGATACATAATTAGTTTGTATCGTACGACTCCTCCATAAGATAATTTAAGATAAAATTATGTATACTAATATAGTTTAATAATGACACTTTACAAATTTACCTTTCAAAATAAAAATATAAAATTTTAAAAATACCCATTATTTAAATTTACACACTTAATTATTACATTACACTATAATCATTTCAATTCTCTCTCCACTTAAAGAGTAATATTAAAAAAAATCATTAATGAAACCTTATTTTTATGAAATTGCTTATATTTTTGGGCAACAAAATATTTTCAAAATTATCTTTATAATTTGGTATGGGAGGAATACTAAATAATTGTATGATTGATTAAAATAAGAATTCGCGTATTTATATTAGCATTATTGAATTTATAATAATAATTAACTTTATTTAATTTCCCTTCAAAGATTCTTTTGGAATTCCCATATTTCTCTCGTCTCAATAGCAAACCTAATTTCTTTTTATAGTGCTCCTACCATGAGACCAGTTCCAACACAAACAATAAGCACAGCCAAGTATTCTCCTTATAAATATCGTTAATTCAGAACAACGCTTGCCTTAAATGACTACTTATATATATATATCCTTCTTTGTCATCTTCAATACTCTAAAACCTGCTCTTCGTAAAGACGATCCTTAAAGGGAAATTAAAGCTAAGAAATTAGCTAGCCATCATGGTCGTGATATCCAGAAGAATGGTTGTGTTTGGCCTTATTGGAGTCTTGATTTTCATGTTCGTATTATTAAAATCCTCTGAGGCCAACAATAACAACGATGTGTTATCTGACTCATCATCGATCAAATGCACTCAATCATCATCATCATCATCAAACCCAGAAGGAGAGGCTCAGCTCATGAAGAATGCACAGATCATGGAGATGATGATGATGATATAAATGACGACAATGATGACACTTTCAAGGTTGTAGGAAATGTAGCCATTTCTCTTTGATTGATTATTATGATTTAATTTCTAGCTAGCTAGTAGTATAATTAAGAGGAACTATCTTTATATTTAGAAGATTTATTATTAGATGTAAGGGTTTAGGCTTAATTAATTAATGATCGAGCTTTTCAATAACCAGGTTTGGCGGTCCTTCTTTAATTTCCTTTCTTGTGTTTCGAGGGTTTTATTTCATAGTGTTTGAGGTTTTATTTTTCTTTTTGGTTCAATTGTTTCCCACCTTTATTTCCAGTCGGTACTAGTGGTTATTAATAATAATATTTAATATTTAATTGTTTGATTGGTTCCCTTCCGTGAAAGTCCAGCTTCTCCCTCCCCCCTTTCCTTTTAAATAATAATTTCATGCTTAAGACCCTAAACTTATTTTTAATATAATATTTTCTTTTAACTTTTAAAAATGATACAATATCATTATTATCAGTAACAAAAATTAATTTTGACTGTGTTAGTTAGTTGACTAAAATATTATAAAAATAATCTTAAAAATTATAAAAAAGAATCAAAATAATTACATAAAAGGACCTAAAAAGTTACAGAAAAGGGTTAAGGAAAGAAAAATTTTGCTGATTTTTTTTCTATAATTTTTGAGGTCCTTTTTTATAATTTTTTAGTTAACTAACAGTCAAAATTAATAGTTGTTAATGATAAGAAAAATATTATACTATTTTTTAAAATTAAAAGAGAATATTGCATACAAAATAAATTTAAGATATCAGATATTCTTGAACTTATATTTTAAAAGTAAATTTATCATTTATTTTTTCTTAAGAAAAGAAAACATCAAATTACCACAAGTGATATTTTACTGTCATGTAACTTCATAGCTGACGTCAAATTCACCTTAGTTTTAAAAAAGGATTACTGCCACATTAATTATTGCGAACCATTGTGTGATCAGGAAAAGACTTGAAATAATTAGAGTTGCATCATAGAAACACTTGATCCTCCA